TATAATCCCGCTTATGCGGGCTGACCGCTACACACAAGAAGGGCCTCAAAACTTACCCCAGAATGCGCCACGTACTCAATCTCATCCACTACATTGTGAGATTAGATGAATGTTATTTTCCGAATTCTTAGATCTTCATTTCGTTTTTAAGCGCTTACTGGCTTTACGTGTTCCCTCTGCTCTCAATATCCCATCCTCTGTATATCAAGTGGAATCTTTGAACAGTTCTCAGCAGGCATAGTGGGCCTATTATGTGACATTTTCCATTTTCAGAGGAGATGTTTTGCAGAAAGCTGTGAAGATAGCGAACAATTTCCTTCACTGTCGTAGACTACGGTCACTTGTCTGTAGGAATTATATGGAAAACTTGGTCGCAGGTGAGCGTTCCTTCCGTGGTGTGGCCCCAAACATGCCTCCTCGTCATGCCCTTGTGGAAAGTTCAGATTTTTTGCATTTCCAGATGAACTCGCAGACCTGAAATGTGCCCCGTTAGCTTCCCCGTGAAAAATGCTATCGAATGATATGCATTACTTCCCCCAGTTGAAACTTTGGTTTTTCACCGTTTTCAGCCTTCCCCTATTGCCGGATTGGGCACTATCCCACGATTACTGCCCCAAAATCTCAAAGTTTCATTTTTCGTCGAAACTTTGCCTATTGGGGTAATTCGATGCCCTGATTACGAATATGACATTCATTTTTGATGCTGGTGTCATTTGGCGCCGTTTGGCGCCAATTTGGCGCCACGGCTGTTTTCACCAAATCCGCTGAAAACGTGTGTATAGGGGTTATTTGGGGTCCTGATCACGAATATAACATCCAGTCTTGACGCCGGCGCCATGTGGTGTCACAAACAACACTTCACAGTCAGAGCGTACTCTTAGGCACCTTTCTCAGAGCGCCGACTGTCAGACCGTGGAAAAGGTCATCGAATCGGAGACTTTCCCACGACAGGAAGGAGCCAGACCGTGGGAAAGGTCGCCGAATCAGACTTTCCTACGATAGGAAGGAGCCAGACCGTGGGAAAGGTCATCGAATCGGAGACTTTCCCACGACAGGAAGGAGCCAGACCGTGGAAAACTTCGCCGAATCAGACTTTCCTACGATAGGAAGGAGCCAGACCGTGGGAAAGGTCATCGAATCGGAGACTTTCCCACGACAGGAAGGAGCCAGACCGTGGAAAACTTCGCCGAATCAGACTT